TAACCACTAGACCACCAGGGAAAGTGTCGGCTTAAGTTCGTATCGTCACACTATAAAAGTAGTGACTTTTAAGTGACTTAAGCGATATGTGTGGTGATTGTTTACCACTTGACGCAGCGTTTCGACGCGTATACAGCACAGATTTGGGGATGAGTCGCCATCAGAACCACCCGACCTCCACTTATACCTTCTTACTAATACCTAAGGGAAGACACACATTTAGCGTCAGGAGTCATCCTTCAGAAGCTCTTAAAAAATACATCTTGGCTCATCAGCTTCATTTAACACACAACCGCCTGTTTTCTATGATGTAATATTTTGAATGACACAAGCATGTCTTTATTTGTGTTTGGTTTTTTTATCCATCCCCAGTAACGGTAGTATGATGACTGTAAAAGCCACTGCTGGAGCTTCAAGTACAGGCTGTAATAAAACCATAAATTGTTAGAGGAGGTTGAGAGAGATGTTTAAGTGGCTCATGCTGTGCTCATAACCTTCAGCCTTGCACTAATAAGCACCTGTGCACACACTCACTTTTTACTGTGAGACATACAGTAGGTGGCTAACATAACAACTTTTACCAGATTCACCAATAATCACACACGAGGAGTTAGATTGTGTGTTGTTTGTTCATTCAGAGGCTATACTCTCAGATTGTCAGATTAAACTGGTGCTGTGATGTGACTGAATGAGGGTGCAGTCTTCCGGATTCTCTGTGCGTCGCTGAGTTTGTCATTTTAAAATAGTGAGTCAGTTTGTCCATCACACAGTTAACTCCTCAGTTTCAGATTATGATGCCAAGTCTTATGACTTCTATTACCTTGACCAACCTAAAATATATCTTGTCATCACAAGAAAATGTAAGCAAAAGAACATATGAAATGGACATAGGACATATATTATACAATTATCAAAATAAAATTTTCAGAAAGTAAAGGTGGTTATTAGTAAATGTGCCGGTTCTGAAATGTATGATTGATCTCAAGCTGGCATGACCACATTGTTGTCTTTCTTATTGCTGGAGACAATCTGGTCACTTAAACAGGGAGATTTTAGTGGAAAGAAATGACTATAGGTACTAAATTTACACAATACTGCACAGAATTTATTTATCTAACCATAGCATGGGCAAAATGATCTATATACATGTTTTTTTCATTTATTTGTACTTACCAAGCAACTGATTATATATATTCTAACATGATATATTACATATTTATTGTAGCTACTCATGACTTGAGTGCTAACTGCCTATTACCCAAATTAGAAAAAGCTGCAGCCTTCCTGACTCAAACAAGACAACAAGATAGTTATCTGAGCTCTTGTCTTAGTTCATTTTGTTGGTCCATGTGGTAACTGTCTGGAAATGCCTTTTACAAGAACCCAAAAGACATTCCCTCAGGCCTAAATCAAGTTATAGCAATGGGCAGGCAGAGGCCCAACCACTGGAGCTTCAGGGAGGTGGACACTCTCAATACCTGTTTTAGTGCCAAGTCCCTCACCAACATTAAAAAAGGGTGTATCTCTGCCAGCGGGGGCCACAGCCTCTTGTGTTGTGTCAGAATTATCAGCTGTTGGCCTGTAAGCTTATCGTAAAAGATGGAAGACCGTTCCGGCTGTACCATCCCTCACGTCACAGCTAATTATACACAGTGACAACAGGCAGAGTGGGACAGGAGGTAGGGGGTCTGAGTGACTCACTGGGTCTGGACCAGGACTATATATAATATCAGGCTTGCTGAGAGACAAAGACCCACACTGGAAAAACAACCAGTGAATCTATCACACTGGAAAGAAGTGTCTGTGGAATCAATACATCGACTTCAATCACCATGTCACAGGTAATTTACATCAGGTCAAATATGCTGTTGTGATGATTTACATAAATTGAACCCAGTGCTGTGTGTGACGACAAGTGTGACGACAGAGCCTTTATTTTCCTTCTTTTCACCCTTAACCTTCACAATCCCCCCTTTCCGTCTTTACTTCACTGCAGCCAGGCGAGGTGAAGAAGAAGAAACGTCCCCCGATGAAGGAGGAGGACCTGAAGGGAGCCCGCAGTAAACTGGGACTGAAGGGCGAGGTTAAGAGTAAGACCTATGAGGTCATGGTTGAGTGTGGTGAGTAAAGCATTTTATTAATGTCATTTCCTCTGACACTGAAACACAAAACAAGTGATGTGACGCCATGTCAGATGTTAACGCTCACACTTTGTATTCATACAAATGTAATATTTCCCCACAGAGAATTTATTAAGGTGCTCCTGCTTGGTTTGGTTTCTCCTGTAGACCTCAAATATCAAACTTCTTGACAGCGTAATTTAACTTAAACAGTGAGTAACATGATAGGGTGGTCACTGGTGGTTCTTTGGCCTCTTCCATGGAGAACATAAAAATTCCTTAATTATTTGGCCAATGCTATAGTGGGCTATTTGCAATATTTACTTTTTATGTATATTTATATCATACGTACTTAGGAAAATTTTACTTTCTGTCCGTCACACCCCGCTGAGGCAATCCTGGTTTCCAGTAACAATATTTTTGCTGCCAACTTAGATATTTCTTTTGTCACCGACTCTGATTAAAAAAACAGTGTTCCCTGACCGGGAA